TGTGCCAGGTACTGTTCTCATTTCTAAGATTCACTAAATATAAACTGGGACAATACAATATCTCTCTCTCTCTCTCTCTCTCTCTCTCTCTCTCTCTCTCTCTCTCTCTCTCTCTCTCTCTCTCTCTCTCTCTCTCTCTCTCTCTCTCTCTCTCTCTCTCTCTCTCTCTCTCTCTCTCTCTCTCTCTCTCTCTCTCTCTCTCTCTCTCTCTCTCTCTCTCTCTCACACACACACACACACAAGCACATTAAGTCATCTTGTTTATATGTTGAAGCAGGTGAGCTGTGGGCGGGGCCTATTTAAACCCCGCCCCACCCTGCTGCTCCACAGAGTTCTGGGAACAACAACAAAGGCAAAAGAGGAAAAAGAGAGGGGGGGGGAGGGGACCATGATCTCACCCCTGAATGCCGGCCAAGTTGATAGTGAGTCATCCCAGGTGTGCTCAGGTGTTTGTGTTTGTCTGTTTTCAGTCTCATGAGCTCTTTGCACATCTCGTGCTGTCTTTGTTCGTCGCATGTGTGTATGGAGCAACCCTATTACTCTGCCTGGCTTTATCGGCATCTGTTTGCCAGACAGATAGACGGACAGAGTAAAGGAGGCAGACAGTGAAAGAGGGTGTCTTTGACAGTTCATCCGTCTGTCTGGCGAGTCTCTGCAGGTCAGATCTGGCTTGCAAAATAGCAGAAAGCAAGCGAGAGACAGCAAGAGCGAGAGAGGGAGGGTGGCTTGGAGAGGACTAATCCCTCCGCTGAGCCTGCCTTCACAACAGAAGCAGGAAAAAAAAAAAACATTATTCTAGCACTTACGCAATGCTGAAAGTCCTTTAACAGGCAAACAACATGAATCAGCTGAGAAACCTCACCACGGAAAACACCAGCACAATTACTGAGCAACACATGCTATGACTTTCATACGTCTCAGAGAACAATAAATGAAAAAAGAAGGTCTTTAATGTTTTGAACAAATGCACTGGATTAGTGAGAAAAATTTCAGGCGAAAATAGTCAGTTTTCAATTGGTCAGTGCGGAAATTCTGTGCGACCAACTTGAACCCGTTGCGAAATCTGGAAATATTTCACCCTCACACAAAATTCACAAACATGTGGATTTTTAATTAAAATGACTGGATTTCTACTTTATTCAGCACGCTCAGTAGAGTCACTCTCTGTCTGAGAAAAAAGTTTGATTGTTTAACCTTATAAAATATTTTCTACAAAAATATTTTAAGGTATTTTGATGCCCGATTTTTTTCTTCTGCTGTTTAAAGCATTAGACTTTGATTTTAAACATATATTTTTTGTATTGTTAGGCAGTAAAAAGTTAGCATAGCATGTTGCTAACACTCTAACTGAAGTTGATGGCAATTGTAATACTAGTTACAAAAGTTTGAATCTTTAAAATACAGTACATTACGAACATTTATTACTACAATGATCATTTCAAGACAAAAATCACAAATGTCTGTGCATGTTGAAGGAACATAAATGTTCTGTCATACCTGCCACTGCCCACACTGTTTCATGCCATGACTATTCTGATAAAAAAAATGGCAGTTGACAAAAACTGGTTTAGACAGGTTAACTTCTTGGAAGTTGGAAGGTCTTTCACTGTATCGCTTAACACTTAACCCTTGAGTACTGTATAATGTCCATAAGCTGGAACAGGCCAGTTTGAGCTCTATGTAATTCTGACCAAAAGTTCAGGCTGTGAAACCATGTGACCTGTAAGTGAAGCAGCAGTATAGAGCAACACACTACACACATAGCCTACATACACAGCTATATTTTAACACAAGTGCTCAGAAACCTCGATTCCTTCTGCACCATTAGCTCTTCCAGTCCCTCTGGTACAGTGTAGTATATATGGTCATTTTGGGACTACGTCTAACCAAATAATGTATTACTAATATGTTGCACTTTAGCATGTCTCATACACTTAACATGATTAGTTTAACCCTCAGATGGCTTGTTCTCTCTCTCTCTCTCTCTCTCTCTCTCTCTCTCTCTCTCTCTCTCTCTCTCTCTCTCTCTCTCTCTCTCTCTTTATTAAAGCTCTTTACACAGCAGTATCAGCCAATATTACCGGCTTAGGGATACAATATGCAACTGAAAATGACCCTAGATCAGCATTAATGAGTTGACCCCAGGACAGTTTGACAAGAAAAAGAAAAAGTAAGACCACTTTGGAATAATTTTTCTTTTGAGATGTCCAATATTTATTTTTCTGAGGTTTTTCTGTCTGTAAAATGGAACATATCCACTTGATCAATAAGTTGTTGGTTACTATGAATTTAAATGACAGATGTGTATGCTAGCACAAAAATATATTAAAGAAAAGATATAATTTTTAAAATATGTAGTTATTCCATTATTGGTAACGCTTTAGATTAAGGTCCAATTCTCACAATGAACTAGTTGCTTATTAGCATGCATATTACTAGGATATTGGCTGTTTATTAGTACTTATAAAGCACATATTAATGCCCTTTTCTGCATGCCCATATTCTACATCCCTACCCAATACATAAACACAACAACTATCTTATTAATAAGCAGTAATAAGGCGTAGTTAATAGTTCGTTAATAGTGAGAGTCTTACACAAATCTAAAGTGTGACCACATTCTTTCTTGATAAAATAAAATAAAAGGGATTTTAACTCATGACAAATAATTGGGTAAGTCCCAAAAAGTCTAAAAATCACATCATGACATTTACAAGAATAAGGACAATATAAAAATGAGCAATCAAACCGTTAGAATTGTCCCCATACAATTATATATTACGGTTTATTAGCACCGGTACTTATAAAGCACATATTAATGCCTTATTCTGCATGACTAAATTCTACATCCTTTAATACCTAAACGTAACAACTACCTTACTAACTATTAATAAGCAGTAGTTAGTAGTTTATTGAGGCAAAAGAAGTAGTTAATAGTGAGAATTGGACCCTAAACTTAAGTGTGACAATATATATATATATATTTATATTTTGTATAATATAATGTGTCGCAGTATTTATAGTAAACCCTGTCAGTTCTCCTTCATCAAGTCTGAGAATCCATTCCCCCGTCTATGGGGTAATTTCAATCATCCATTGCCTTTTATTATTTAATAAGTTCAATTAGCGTGCTTAATTGGTCCAAACGAGCTGTTTGTAGCTGACGAGGGCTGTGATGGATGATGGGATTGTCAGCATGTTGAGGGAAGCCGTTTCTTACAGCTCAGAGTGTCATCACACACACACACACACACAAATATATCAGAAAAGTGAATCTGGCTCGCCCAGTTGAGGCTTGGCGGATCCAAAAAGACAATCCATTTACCAATTCTAAAGTTGCGACGCAGACGTTTGTGAGAAATGTCAAAGCTTTCAGTCCTGTGACTGGCATGGAGACCGGGAGGGCAAAACATCCATAGTCCTGCTGCAGCACAGGCCTGTCAATTTTTCCATTTGTTTCAAGCCACGAATATTTAGATCACCTATCAAAAGTAGAAAAACTAAACCATGTGAACAGAATGCTGCAAGTATTTTCACTAAAAAAAGTGAGACATTCTAAAATGCTTGATGTGCAAAACACTTAAAATGTCGTAATGTGCTAAAACAGTGTTATTCAAAGACCAAATTCAATATAGGCTACATCTTATTGATGATGCATAGTCTATGTGGGTGAGCAGATGAGCCCAGAATATGAGCGCAACGTGCCAAATGGTTAAGCGTTGTCTTTATAATGGTTTTCAATGGAAAAACGGTTAACGAGAAACTGCGTTGCATTTAAATTCTGGGTTTATCTGCACACCTGTATACATGCATCATCAATAAGGTCTTTTGGTCTTTTAGTATTACTCTCTAACTACATTTGTAGTACAAACCTAAAAAAAATAACTGGCAGGCAATGAAGTAAAGCCTTGTTGTAAAGCCCTCCACGTAGGCCTTCCTAAAACGCTGTGATGTCACGTGCAAACTATGAATTCAAATGAACTAAAGTGAAAAGGTTGAGATCAGTCAGGACATGCTGACCGAACATATCAGGGAGTCCTGACACAGAAAGTAGGCAGCGTGAGCCCAGGAACCCTTGCATCTGCTGAGGCGGTGCAGTACAGATCCCAGACCTGTTCATTTTGATCCTTTAGTCGCTCACCGCCAACCCCCACCCTGTTGGCACTGACCAGACTGTGCAATTCCGTCTTACCCCTAGACTTAATTACCATTTTAATTAGCAGGGGCCTGAGAATTAACAATCCTTCATCATATGGCTTTGGGCGTGAAAATTCATAATCCCTTTAGTCAGTTATGTATTCTGGGTCAAGCAGTAGATCAGACTGCAGCTATTATGAGTATCTTCATGAACTCAGGCTATTTGTTTAGTCTGCATTTCAATTAAGCTCACAAACTGCTTGAAAGTTACATTGCTTAAGCTGAATGTGTTGAGAGTGTGACGTGAAGGTACTCAGAAGATGAATGAAGACATCTGCTGTCTGGCTGAGACAGGTTGCTCTCAGGAAGTCACACAAGTATAGTGTCATTTGTAAGCTATGAAAGAGACGTGAGCAGAGAGACTGAGATTCTTAAATAATGTTACTTTTTATTGCATGTGGCTATTCAGAATCAATACAGTTTCTAAAGCAATACTAATTACACTAAGTTTAAATTATCATTTCTAAGTAGCATCACAATGCAAAGAATATGAAGTATATACAATGGAAGACAGAAAAACAACGGAAAAAAAAACTCGCTCAGGCATTGAAATATTCAAGATTTCCATACTGTGAAACAGCATTCGCAAAAGAACACTGTTGAAATTACTGTTAGGATTCAATAGCAAACATGAAGTAGAAGACACTTTTCCATTTAAAGTTGGCAGAAAAATTTGTACAGCAAAAAAACGTTCTTACGGTTTTAAATATATTAACACAGTATTTATACATTTGGTTCCTTTCTGTAAACTAATCTTTAACAAAATGTAAATATTGCATATGCCATTTGTGAATTTGTACCTATTTTCGTAATATCAAGAATTATTCAAAGAATTCTTTTTTTTTTCTTTTTTTTTTATATTACAGCATTATCAAATATCCTTGAAGTGGCATCTATCGTACAGTGTGCATACTTTTACAAACGTACTGAAGAATTAGAAAAGAAAAACGCCAGGCCCAAAGTTCAGCTTTTGGCATGTACCTTCATTAGTGCTTTAGTTGTTTGGGGGGAAATTCATTGGGAAATTCATTCAAAAACGTACCGTGTATATATATATACATACAAAAAGAAATAAGTTATAATCTTTAACTTAAAAATGTCAGTTGCGATCTCTTTATACATTATGTACAGCTTTCTAGGCAAACTTTTTCATATACTAAAGTCAAGTTGTGTGTGTGTGTTGTACAAGTGTCGATCTGAACAACTCTGCCTCGGTATCAGTCTGTTTGTGGATGTTTAGGCCGTGCGTTTCGTCTCCTGTGGAGATCTCCGGAATACTCTACATTCAAAAGTGTCTTGTGTTACAATCTAAGGAGTTTGTAAGTGCAAGACAAAGCATTGGTTCTGACGAGTCTATCCCTGTCTGACAGTAGGGAGCAGCAATAATGGTGTCAGGCCTTCTGAGACGTCCCTAATTCTATCACTCTCTGGAACGGCGAGCCGACGGGTGTGTATGTAAGGCAAAGGGAAGCCTGTGTGTTCAGAGCAGTGAGAGGGGGCAAGTCCGCAGAGGCCTCTGGGTTGTTAAGGTTTAAAGACGGTGTGCTAGCATGCCTAGGCTTGGCGAGAGAGATGCTCCTCTCTCTGACCTGAGGCGCACGACATCATTCATCTAGCGTGTGTTAATCGCGTGTGGCTTCGTTCCAAAACTAATAACTCCTCCTCTATGAAAGCCTGCTTTGCATATGTGCGGGATTGCGGGCGGAAGGCCCGGTCCTTAACCAGCTCAGATAAATATTATTTTATTAAAATCCTTTAAATATCTGTGTAGAATGCAAAATAACATTAATAGATCTTTGATTGCAGCGCAGGAACTTCCTCCGCTGCACTGCAAGACATTCAGTTATCATGGCAAACAGTAATCTTTGATACTCTTGTGAGTGTATATGCAGGTCCTCCAGGAAACACTGTTTGACAGTACAGTCAGTAAGGCTTTGGATTGGTGTTTTTACGAAAACATTCACTTGGAAAAATAAATTAATTTCTCAATATATAGATTTTTGTAAGTCATAACCTGGCTCGTTCTGAGGTAGGGTTTTCAAGTGACTGCTTTTTTTTGTGTGTGTGTGTCTGATTTCGAATTGTTGGGTAAATTTCTGAAATGCCACCTCTGTGCAGTGTTGCAACCACCCGTGCGCGCACACGCACTCGTGCCGCCACACGTGGGGGGAAATAAATAAGTGTGACGGGTGTATGCGTGCGTGTGCAGATCAGATTTTTTGGTTCACAGGTTTTAGGGGGTTGAGGGACACTGGCCACTCGAAGTCCAGAGCTCGTAACAAAACCAGTGGAAAAAGGTCCGTAACACAAAAATTGTAGAGATTGCAGTGAGTGACAGATGGACAGGAAGTCCCGCCTTCGTCTGCGAGTCTTCGTCATGCCTCGCGCTGGGGTCAAGTGTCTGTGTTGCCGTGACGACGGCCATTCGAATGCATTTGGGAGGTCAAAGATCAGCGGAGGCCTGGTTCAGCAGCAACGTGGTCCATCTGTCCACACGAGCGCCTCTTCTCCTTCTCTCGTCCCTTGCTCTCGACGTGAACAACGGAGTGAAGGAGCCTTTATGAGAAGACTGGCTCTGTTTAGTCTGCAAGAAAACAAGAGAGAAAAAGAAGCACATTAATGTGATGTCTATAAAGACAGAGAAAGAAAGCACCACAAACCAATAAGACACGCTGTTCCCCGAGATCACCGCGATCACGCTGCCGTCGCAAAACACAAAAGCCTTTTATGGGCATTCGCTAATGTTACGGCATTTTTCTGAAATACTATCATATTCCTCTGTGCTTTGTCTGAAAAAATCTTCCCTTTTCACTGAGCGGCGTGTGTTTTTCCATTACCATCCGTATGTGATTTATACATGAGGAATGAAACTGGCTAGAGGGGGATAAAATGTTACACACTCCCTCTGTCTCGTTCTCGCTGCTGTTCTTGTGCTCTCCTTTACCAAGTAAGGAATGCGCGCTCTTTTGCTATGAGCAACAGAAGTGGCAGGTGCTCAGAGACAGACTATGGGAAACACTCGCTGACATTTAGCTCTGTGCAGCTGACGGAAAGAGAACAAGAGCCGGCCATACACTGACACACAACACAGCCTTAGATGTTCAGCAATATCCATGCTATTTAAATATTGAAGTCTACTTTGCTAAAATGGGCAAGACATGCTTTTTTGGGGCATTAAATAATGGTTTAAATGCCAGTAAATGAAATACTACGAATCTTAGTAAATCACATTGCATGATTTATTTAAATATTCTCCTCCCATAAATTTTGCATCCGAAAGGGAAACTTTTGCAAATGCATATGCAATAAGCTCAGCTGCAAAAATAGCCGTGTCCAATTGCTAATATTTCACTAAGTGTCTTTAGTAAATCCTGACAGTGGTTTTTAACGCCAAAAGAGGGTTCCCAGACAGCAACATAGTGTCGGCCAAGATCTGGTCCATGTGGATTCAACGCATACCAGGTGTTGGCCGGATCTGGGCTGACACTATGTTGCTGTCTGGGTTTGTGCTTCCTCAATGTTAAATCTGTCAACAACAAAAAAAAATATGTAATTTTGGAAACACCTTGTTGACTTTACAATATGATGATTCATATTTTTCTCTCACTGTATAAATGGGTCTTTATAGACCATGCAATTTTAGAAAGGTGGTCCCTGGCAAGTTCATATTTTGGGGCCTTTGGTATCACAAAGTTTAAAACCACATGCTTTCTGGTGCTCATAAACAGCTAAATGCAGAACAACGGAGTTCCTCCTGTTTAACTGTACATGAAACATATACCAAGATATGACACAACGGCTTGTGTGCAACAATAATCAGATCAGCACAGATGGATGCAAGAATGCATCCCGTGTGTACGTTCTCATAAAATAGAAAGACAATTACACACATCAGCTTTACGTTTGAAGTGTAAATATTACAGTGTCATTTGACAATTTGCTTCTGTCTCTCGCTGGTGTCTGGGTTCTGTTTACGAGACTGGATTGCTATCCTGACCTCTCACCCGCTGTACTTGTTTGTGAGGTTTCATTTGCATGTAGGCCTCACACTGGGCGGAAGTCTCTACTAACACAAACCCTTTCGTGGGTCTGTCCTCTCAGGCTGTACGCTAGCGCTAGCGCCTTCCCCCCTCCAATCTCCTCCTCCTGCTTTTCATCCGCCTAGAACAAGAGCTGTTTTCATAGAGCAAGACTTGCTCTCACACACACTTAACAAACCCTTAATTCACAGCCATCGGCTATATTGCACACCATAATCGCTCCCATTATCTGGACTGCCCGCGCACATTCCAAACACTTCCGCATGTGAGTCCGATATCACAACATCCACTCTGACAAGGATGGAAGTAATTCCCATGAACGTCAGTAGGGATGCATTCTCTCACAGAGAGCTGGGTAAAGTAAGGGAGGAGGGGCCGGCGAGAGGTCAATCGCTTTCACGCTTGTAAAGTGCCTCATCTTTTCTTGCTCTTTGATACCTCCCTCTGTGTGGTATTACGAAGTATTACTCTTGCAGTTAAGTGCTGACAGATCTGTTTGCTCACGGCCAACTAGTGAAGAAATAGAAAGAGAAAGGGGAGTAGGTGCTTTCCTGTTGTCCTTTTAACTAGACCGACTGTGGGAAAAACAGCAGAAAACACGTTTCACTCACCCTGATGGTAAAAAAAAAAAAAAAACCACAGCCAAACACCAATGACAAACCCATATCTACAAAAGTAACAACAGCATTAATGTACATTTAAGTTTTTTTTTTTTTTTTTTTAATTTTTTTAAAGGTTCTTGAAAATGTGTAAACTCTTTTTCTTAGTGTAAAGTCAACAGAAGTTGTGTTTTCTTTCCTATTGGGCTGTATAACCAATTGAAACGACTTCTCAAACAAGAAAAAATGTAGGGCGGGACTTGTGGTTTGCTATTGCTGTGATCTCATATGATTGACAGGTTGACCCGCCCTCATGCTAGTAAACACGTCATCAGAGACGAGAACAGATGTCGTTTCAAGAAGGAGGGGAATTTATTTTGATTAAATGAGGGAACATGAAAAAAAAAATTATAATAAACACTGCAATATTCCATAAAAAATCAGAATTGTCCATTTTGATTTCATCGTGAATTTAAAGTCCCAAGATTATTCTTTTACTTTAAAAAGATCTCTGCAAAAATGTCTGATTCACAAACAACTGACTCTTATCGGCTGATTCTTTTTAGTGAATTAAAAAAGTACAACAAAGATTTTGAAAAAAAAAGTGTAAAAAGTTTGGCCCAATGAAAGCTGCCATGTGTGTCCAGCTTAATGTCACCATTAAGTGGACAATGGCATTATATGACCTGACCTACTTTACGGTCACCACACTGCTAAGTGCTTCAAAGACTAAAACAAAGACGCTGTATTGACTACAGAAACATTAGCGTAAACTCTTACACGATGACAGCGCAGTGGAAACCTTGATGTGAACTTGAGCTTGGCTGCTCGTACACAGACTCTCAGAGTACCATTTCGGGTGGTCTGATTTCGTCATGTGTATAAATAGACTCGAAACAGACAGAGATCTCTTTTCCCGTCTCCCTGATTCTCACATTCACACTGATGCCACAGATCCGGAGTCATGTAGTGTATGTGTATGTGTAGAGGTCAGAAGCCAGCTTGAATTTCACAGAGCTAATTAAGCAAGAGGAAGCTTGGCAATTCCATGGATGTCCCATTCCGATCCGGAAAGGCAGAAAAAAACAGCGCCAGTGAATGAGGGGGAAAGAAAAAGCAGTGAGGTCATGGGACAAGGACTCAGACGGAGACTGATGAATGAGCAGAGGGAGGAACTTTAAATGTTTTATCTGTCGAATGCTGACCTGAACTAACTTTATTAACTGTGTCCTGCATTCACTACTGTCTACAGCGCCACATACAAAATAAATTATGTTTATGTTATGCCAAGAAATTAGATGGCAACATTTTCAATAATTTAATAATTTTAATATTACCATAAAACATAATTGCTTCTTACATCTCAATGAGTAAATATAAATCAATAAATATCAAAGCTAATTGTAAACATGCTCAAATTCAAATATCAGTAAGAGCAGATGGAGACCAGAAGTGTGAGGTCTTATCGGACCCTCTGACCCCAAATTCCCTCCCCCATCTCTCTCCCTCTCGTTTTGTCTCTCAGAGTAATCACTCAACCTATAAAAGTCCCCAGATCTAAGCTTAGTCCAACATATTGCTTCCTTAACTTTTTTTACGGTGTTAAAACTGTGGTTTCTGTGCCTGTGTGAGAAATCAGCACATGTATTTAAAGCAGCTGTAATCTGGACCACGCTGGTTCAAAGAAAAATCTTGTGAACCCACTGCCCCCATCCAAAAAAAAAGCCCCCTCTCCACACACACATTTGTCCTGCGACTCATTATTTATTTATTTCACACAGGTTAAATTTAGCCCCCCTGCAGCCGAGCCAGCAACAGTCTGGTTTTCTCACACACATATAAGTATAACACACAACTGTTCTCTCTCTCTCTCTCTCTCTCTCTCTCTCTCTCTCTCTCTCTCTCTCTCTCTCTCTCTCTCTCTCTCTCTCTCTCTCTCTCTCTCTCTCTCTCTCTCTCTCTCTCTCTCTCTCTCTCTCACACACACACACACACACACACACACACATTTACAGTAGAGAGAAAATCAGCCAAGTGACTGACTGTACTGTAAACATGTGCTAGTGTTACTAATGTATTTATCTCATATATCATAGAAGGGGAGTATCAGTTTGAACCCGTGGGGTAGAAATAACAATGTTTCTGTTCATCCTCACTTAGTAGGGTCTTCCAATGTCACTCCCTTTAGGGATTTTCACACTGTCAGCGATTTGTAGCAATTCGGTGAAAGTTTGAGGGAGCAGGAGTGACGTACATGGGCACACAAAAGTACAATTTAAGGGATTCACTCTCTCAAATAAATGTAATTGTCTCTTTCCCATGGCTCAACCAACTGCTAAGCCACAGCTTAACAAACAACCATGTATTAATTTTTAAGATTCATAATAAATTATGTTAATGAATCAAAAAACAAAATATGTATTACAAATAATGCCAAAAGTGAAAAAAATAAAATAAAAAAAAATAACAGATGAAGCTAATTTTCAACAGTTGTTAACACGTCACCGACAGCTCTCGGCTCAATTTCAAATTGTAAACTGTAACTTTACAGAGACGGTCATCATCAGCTATGGGAAAAGAGGGAGGGCAAAAGGTTACACTGTATGCGTGGTGGGATGATCTTCATGTGTAAATGTCACGTTCTAATCTCATAACACTACAGCCAACTAAGCCAACAGAGCTCAGTGGACATATGGAAATAAACTCCAGTCCATGAATAAGAAAGTGTGTGCATAAGGGTGTGCGAGCTCAGCAGATCTCACAGTCATCCTCCTTTAAACAAATCCAAATACCCAAGGAGCCATTTAAATTCACTTTTATGAGAGTAAAGCATCACTACATATTCTGCTCCACGCATACACACTCAGATGACTTAGCTCAGCAGGGGAGAAAAGGAGCATTCATTCAGAATCAGGCCACATGCCATGCAATTATTCCCACACACGGCACGTGCTCTTAAAGAGCATCCTATGCAGATTTCAAATGATATTTTCCAGCCAGATCCTACTCTTTGCCACATGCTAAACACACACACACACACGGAATGTTACATTTATAGGATGTTAACATATAGCATTAACTTATGTTATAAATATACTTTACACAGAAATGACAGAAAGTGATGAATGTACTATGTGTGTGTGTGTGTGTGTGTGTGTGTGTGAGTGTGTGTGTGAGAGAGAGAGAGAGAGAGAGAGAGAGAGAGAGAGAGAGAGAGAGAGAGAGAGAGAGAGAGAGAGAGAGAGAGAGAGAGAGAGAAATAAAAAAGAGAGAATGAGAGAGCTCTCAAATGTGTTGTCCAGATTTGACTTGAGAATGTGTAAGTCAAGGACAGAGGATCAGAAAAGACTTTTCTCTTTCCTATTTAGATACATAGTACTATCCCAAGAAAAACAGAAGGTGTGCACAATGAATGTATCATTTGTGAGTGAATTTCACAAAAATGTGCAGTAAAACATTTTTGTTTTCTATATTACACTAAAATGACACAGTACAACAAATATTACTGTGTTAGGAAGGTTTTTTTTTCTTGGGTTTTTTTTCATTATTACTTTTTTTTTGGGGGGGGGGGGGGGATTCATGAAAATAATGTCACAATAATAATAATAATAATAATATTAAAAATAGGCTTAATTTTCTATAAAGCCAAGTATAATTTATTATTTCATTCTATTGATTTGGGGTGAAATATAGCCCTTGGGTGAAATTCAGCTGTGTGTGTCGTTTACTTGGTCACCAAACAAAGCTGCTCAACAATGTCTAATCTGTGGCAGCATGTAATCCGCCTTATCTGTGCTGCTAAAATTGGGAAGCAGTGAGAGCGTTTCAAAGAACATCTTGGATGTGTTTAACACTATAAAATCTGCAACGATAGCAGATACTTACAGAGACAAAAACAACAGACTAAGAGGTGACATGAAGAGAGATGGGATGGGAAGGCAGAGTCAGACTGATGATTGCTGATAGACAGAAAGGAAGAAATGAAAATAGTCCTTCAAATAAAATAAATAATAATCAGCGGATATATTAAACAAAATGTTTTATGGTGGATGAGAGAAAGATAGTATGATAATAGACTAGGATTCAAAGGAATAGGTGAGTGTTGTGATGGGGGATGGCCATCTGAATCTTTTCTCTAGAAATAAAACCAGGCAAATTGATAGACACAATCTTTCTTTCACTGCTGTACCTTTCAATTAAATCAAGTCTATCAAAGCATGAAGGGGCAGGGCTCGGTGTGTCTGCAACAAAAAGAGAGTTCACTTTTATTTCAAGCTTTTGCCAACTGTTTTCGCTGGTTATCTGACTGTATCTCCCTATATCTCTCTCTGTTCTGTTGTGTGGGGCAGCAGATGGCCGCTAATCATTAGTGTATTGTCAGGGCTCTGATGGGCCTGATAACCACTGTGCACTGCTTGGAATGGCAGGTGCACGACCCTGGCCCCCTCCATCTGCTGGCCCGGCCCCTCACACACACTATTCTCAGGAGGGATGATTCTCTGGAAGCCCCTAGCAGACACACACACAGCTCTCTGAGATGTGCTAATGGTAAATCTTTAATAAGACGGTGTTTACTCTCTCCTCTAGTGCTATTATGTAGGGAAGAAATGGAAAGAATCCAATCTAAGGAAATAAAAGGTAGGCGAAAGCTTCAATGCCCACAGAGCTCTTTATGCCCCACTCTATAGCCGTCTATATCCAAGGCCAGGTCAGAGGGGACCTATTTAGTTTACAACGCACTGCTGGAGTATTTTGGTGTTCAATGACTCAGTAAAGATGCAGATGTGAAAAATGCTGAATTTAAAACGACAGAGCGTGACAAAAAACAATCAGCCCAAAATGATGAGGCTCCGTCATAAACCTCAGTCAAACATCCTGCACACTGTGTAAATATGTATTATGTTTATGTTTGCCAAAGTATGTGTCTGCTTCCCATTCACAAATGTACTATTCAAATCAGTGTGTAAAAAGTGATGGGAGGAGGGATGGAGTGAAATGTGGCATTAGACGTTGGCGTAGTAAACAGAGCGCAGCCTATCCGTGCTCTCCTCTCTGCTCAATGGGTCCCGTACCGGCGCAAGTTCCCTATCAGGAAGACTATCGGGCCATTCGACACAAATAAGAGCTCTGTGTTCTGTCTCTGTGGCTCATCTTTTGTTTTGGTGGAATGTTGTCTGTGACCAATCACAGGGCTTGGATGGCTGAGCTCTAGCGAGTGTGTGCCGATGTTTCTGCGAGTTTTCTTTGTGGTCTCCTCCCACTGTTCTAGGGCTTCCGTGGCCTGCGGCTACGTCTTTCTGCTCCGTCCTCTTGTGGAGGTAAACAGAGAACTGCAGAAACACCTGCTCCGCCAGCACAAACACTCACACACCCTAGAGATCATAATTGAGCTCCGGATGCCATCTATTTGCCTTATATGGTGTGTATGTGTGTTGTTTTAAGAGGCTTCTGCTTCTAGACTCTTTTGTGAAGTGTCATTCATCAGACAAGTCGCTCTGTCCTTTAAGTGCAGTCCTTCACCTTGACTTTATTTCAGTGCAAGGGTCTCACTAAAGTGTAGCATACTCCTTTTTAACACGTATACACCCTTCACACAATCCCACTCAAACAAAGTTACGCTTAACAACAACACCTCCTATCTTACAACTCATTTCAGTGTGTGTCTTCCACGTGAGTCCAAATCTGTGTCTGTCAGCCCATACGTTTATCTCTGTGCTACACAAACAACTTTGTTTTTCGAGTCGTGCCGAAAAACAAAAGGTGGGTCGTTCCTTGAACCTGGCAGGTTGGAAAAACAAGTCGGCGTTAACCTCTCTGAACGACCTTTGCACACATTCTGCATTCCAGCCCTGAAACCCTCCACCTGAAACTGATAAACAACTGACTCACTTGTTTTTATCTGGGCTACTGTTCACTCAAGTACGACATAATTACTAATTCTGATTCAGAAAGTATGATGCAAATATTGGGAATGTTTCTTCTTTTGCTAAATTATTGACATTATCTCTCTTTTTCACATTTAGATCCTCTCAAACTGACCGCATCCCACAGTCATCCTCAGACTACTGACAAAATAATATCAATAGGGAGCTCCATTAAGAATGAATAAAAACCTTTAACTGAGCTGTTTTCATCCCAAACACCCCTGCAGGCACGGGTGAAGCGATCAGTCACTGAGAATAAAAACTGCGCCACAGCTTTTAAAGAGGCATTTCCATCATTCTGACACTCAAGGTGCTCAATTAGCTCTCTCACATAAGAGGGAAATTTGTCATGTGGCATGCTAATCTGGTGCACAAGTAATATGCAGTTGTTGTTGTTGCAAAAATAATGTGTCATGACATATTGTGGTGAGTTAACACAGCTAAATAATTCTAAAATTTCAGAGCACAGCATTTGAAAGAAATTAAGTGAATAGTGTAAACATTAACTAATGAAGGTTGTGAGTTTGCACATCACCAGTTATGTCTTTTATGAATTCAGCTTACCTGTTACTATTGTTGCCGTCTCCTTGAACCCAAGGCTGGCATACGGACTGGCATGTATTCCATTGATGCCCTCTTTACAGCAGCTGGCAGGTTTGAACCGGACAAGCGAATCACAGCTGGCAAGTCCTCCATCCATCAAGTTTAAGGCAATGTAGTTAAGTCCATTCTGAAAGCCGGCCGATGTCTCCCTGCACATGGGACTGTTGTACTCTTCATCCGATCCTTCGCTGTTCTTCACAGAAACAGACACGTTCTCCACAGAGGCTGAACCATGCCGCCTGGCGTCGTGTGCGAAGGAGGGAAAAACTGGTGTTACGGTGGTGGTTGAGGAGAATGTCTCTGAACTGTGCCGCCTGCGTCCCTGGGGATCGGCACGGATCACTTTGGCACCCCGGTCGGGATCCACCAAGGCCAAAGTGGCACCATGCAGCAGGAATGCTTCAACGCCAGGCACTCCCACAGTCTCATCCACAGTCAGCCTCTGCATGCAGGAGGATGGGCTGATGTTCTGCCCACCTTCTGAGGGCTGCGAGACAGGAGGGGAAACGGGCACACCGAACGTCATCTCTGTGTAATCGTCTTTAGCTTTATCAACTGGGCCCACTGGTGCCACCTGTGCCGTGAGGTGGTACCTTTCATCTTTCTCCTCTTCTTTAGGGTGGGTGGGGCAGGACGTGAGATCCGCCAAAGGCTCCAAACCATTAGACGGAGCGGCATTTCCAGATTTGGGTGACTGAGAACTCACATCTATGTTCATGTAATCAGAGAGGGGGGATGTCCTCTGATCTGCAGACGATCCGAGGGATGAGGCTGAGCTCTCGGAGGAAGTAATGGAGGGCGGAGTGCAACTTTCAGCAACATGTCCAAAGTCTATGTTTATGTACTCGCCAGGGCTTTTTGGCTCAGAGGGGAGGGGATGCTCGTTCATACTGGGTAATGTCCGGAGCGTGTCAAGGGAGAGGCGGGTGGGCCGGCTTATCCTGTGCAGGAGGATGAAACTATCCGTGCGGCTCTGTCTTAGAGGAGATGGGGCAGGGGGGGATGCTGTTTTTACTGACTCCTCTATTTTCCTCTGACTCTGAGGATTCATGACAACATACTGATCATTGTTCGCATCCTTTAGTGTCTGCTGGGGCTTATGGCAGCGGGTCAAAGAGTTAAACAAGTGAAGCTGTCGGAGACATGGAGACTCAGGGCTCAGGTAGTAGTCTGGTGGTGTGACTGAATCTACAGGGGACATGTTGAGGTACTCACCATTAGACAGTTTCCCATCTGAGCTGTCGATGGATAATTTAGAGCCGCACAGCATCCTCATGTAGCCGCTGTCATCCAGAGAACAACTGCTAGGGGAATTGGTTCTGTAACCATTCGCAATAGTAAGGGGGTGCGTCCTGGGGTTGATTATCTGCTTTGGAGCCGAAACGCACATTGGGCTCATGGGCATGTAGTTGTCAGTCTTCCCCCCTTGCGGAGCGACACCTGGTGTCATCGGCATGTAGCCACAGTCGCCCAGACTACCGCTGGAACTTTTCAGTAATGATCCGATTTCAATGTCCCCATAATCTTCAGGGTATGTGAGCTTTGGGGATGCAGTGTGAGAGCTGCGCCCCGAATGGCCACCAGTTGTGTGCGTAGCTCTCATGAGCGTGTACTCGTCCAGCGAAGTAGAGGACACTTGTGATGGCACCCTCTTCTGGTAAGGCATGGTGAGAGAGTGTGTCCTCTTCCTGTAGGCTTTCTCCAGATCTCCTACGCTCTCCTCGCCTGCCGCCCGGATGCTTCGCCGTCCACAGCTGTTCGGCCTTTCCATGATCATATATCCATACAGGTTGCTGCCCTCCTGTGAGGGTGGCGTGTCAGCGAGTGACTCAGGTGTGTTGCTTCGGTTTGCTGCTAAAAGGTGCCTGATATCACCCGGGCTGGAGCCGCACTCATCGCAAGAGATGAAGCCAGCGTCGCTGGGAGAGCCTGAAATTGAGGCGGTGCAGCTGGAGGGGCGAGGGCCTGACAGACTGACGGGGCTGACAGCTGAGGGAGGCGAGTGAGACACAGGCATGCACATGGATTTACTATGCTGCAGGGTTGATGACTCAAATGTCCTGCATGGGCGAGCTGTCACTGTATTAGAGCGGCTCAAATGCATCCTGTTCACGCCTGGGCTGATGGGGCTGCCAATGGTACCGTCACCCTCACTTGCCGTGCGGATCCTACAGGACGTCAGTTTTGTCACGGGAGACGTCGCTGCCATGCTGTCGGTGCGCGAGCGCCGTGTCAGCCCAGTCTGACTCGGCGGGAGGTTGTTAAAGTGCCGCCTGGTGGGCACAGATATGGGGTTGGTACCTGAGGACTGGCTTTTGCTGCGCGGGCGGAACTCTGACATCTCTTTCATTGCTTTCATAGCCTCCAAAATAGTCTCGTGAATGTTTTGCGCCACCACCGAATCGTCCGCCTGCATCCACAACTCGCCGGGTCCGATCGACGCGGACCGGCCCACCTCGATGAAGAAAAAGCTGTCCGAGTGTCCGCATCGGCGGATGTTCATCAGCTGTAAAATCACCGACGCCACCTCCGTGTTCAGTTTCACGAAGCTGATGGTCCGGCTGGATAAACACAGCCTGTAAACGCCCGTTAAGTTTCTGCTCTGGCCGAGTCCTTTAGATTTCAAATTGACCTGCCAAACCTCCTTGTAAGTAGCGGTGACGGGCGTTATCACGCCGTAGCTCGCCTCATCAAAGCCGACGAGGGATGACGCTGAATTAGAAGCGGAGCCGTCGCTCACTTTCCCCTCGTTCATTAAATCCGTTAAGACAGTGTACCAGTCCTCCTGTTCCTGCTCGTTTTCGGCAGCCACGGCAAAATACTCGTCCTTGGTGTAAAGGGCGATCAGGTGTTTGTGTTTGGCATCGGCTCTCTTGTTGATGTTCAAGCACGAGTCCAAATGTATAACCCGTTTAGCAGCCGACTTGTTTTTCCATTTCTTCTCGCTCTCGTAATACTCCAGCCGGGCGCGAGAGCCCTCGCTCGGCTCCCTCAGCACGAAAAAGCGCTTGTGTCCGTGCTTCTGTTTCTTCAGATAGCCGCATTTCTTAACGTGGTTGTTGTTCTTCACTGTCATATTTGAAATCAGCTGTCCTTCTGTCGGCGGCGGACTCGCCATTCTCATATGCTCTGAAGAAAAACTCTCACTTTTCCTTAACTTGTGCTGTCAGTCAGATATAATCCTGTCAGACTCTCTTCTGTACCCGGCGCGGAGTGCGCGTTCGCTGCGAGGAGCGGTTTGACAGTAAATAACACATATCGCTAAGTGACTGGAGTGAAGAGGAAAAACAACATGTGACGTCCTACACATCCAGCTTTGGTTACAAAAAAAATAGAAAGAAAAAATACGCACACACACAAAAACTAGGCGGTGCAACCTTCGGGGGAAGGCGTACCTGAATACGCCTCTTTTAACAGCTCATTGGGCTCATTGGTGGAAGTATCTGATTGACAGTTGATAGCACCAATCACGTCTACTCTTTATCGCCGCTCCGCCCCCCACTAGAACATCCAAAGGTGACTGAGAATTGTCAGAGGATCGCAACCCACTGAGCGCGCTGGTCGGAGAGCCGCTATGAGTGTTATATTTTATTCAAATAATACGGAATAAAATGACCATGAATAGTCTATGATTTTAATATTCTTGGTTCCTTTTGGGGAACAAATGGGGTGGTTAAAACAACCAGTACTGACTATGGGGCGCAAGTTTTTCGGCAGTTTGTTCGTTATTTAGAGAGTGAGTTAATTTCGCTTATAATTTTGCAAAGTCAAACCTTTGATAAGCTAATGCGTTGTAGCTCATATTATGTGAAGTTCACCGTGTTCTAGTGTAATTTCCTATTATTATGTGAGTTGTGTTTTTGTTATGAGCATAAGGCTATGCCTAAAAGTTTTAAACCCATTTGCACATAACGTAACATTCCTTATCTCAATTATGTTACTATTATCTTGGGCATTTTATTATTTAGGGATCAAGCCAGATCACGTCAGCATCATTTCGAATCTCTCCACTGGCGCATCATAAAATTCATAAGCAATGCGCGTGACCCTACTCTTATAGGCAGCTACTTCGTTCTACACTAGGCTATGACTCGACCTCGTTATATTGACGCATTCGGTTCGAGGCGAATCATTTAACTGTGGGACTATAAAAAACTGAAAGTTTGCGGAGCATCCTCGTTATGTAACGCAACCAGTGCTTAGTCTGAATGCGTCTTGTATTACGCGTCTGCCTCTAGCGTTCACGGGTATGTGCGTCTGTGTTTTTGTCTTGTTTGCCTTCCAAGATTATTTCCGGTCATTGCCTTTACCTCGCACTCCTCCTTCACAGTGTAATGTACTACAGCACCCCTTACACTACACGGGAGAAGAGAGCACTGCAGATATAGAGAATGGAACTATACTGCATGCGCCCGACAAAGTTAGCTTAAAATGCGAGCGTTGCAGTTTGACGCGTCGCTCGCTCGCTGTAGTGTTTCTCACTCCATGTTGTAGGCTATTTATAACATAACTGAATGAAGCGTTTCAACCCCGAACAGTAAAATGTCAGCAAAACTGTGTCCGTAGCCTATGTGCAGCACTGCATCAGTTCTGCTCTAGTTTTTGGGCTATCTGTGATGACGTTGCGATGCAGGGTCTGCTGAGGATTGAATACGTCAGTGACTGGTTATGTACGTAGATAGAGAGATGCTTATTCCTCTCAGATGAACTGAAATGCAGCTACTGTCTCTGTGCGTTTCCCAATAAAAGCACACACCTCCCGAGAAAAGATGTCTCTTCTGACTGAAAAAAAAAGAAGAAAGGCAATGACAGGCTACAATAACTCTATTTTTCATTTTATTTTCTTCTAAAAATAACAGCATTTATTCAAAACATAAATCTTTTCTAACAATATAAATATTTACTATAACTTTTTATCAATTTAACACATCCTTGCTGAATAAAATTACGGAAGCGTATTGCATTCACTTGAGGAAAAAAAATCTGCTCTGTTTTTCTGTATTAACGAGTTAATTATCTCTGAATTACGAGACAATTTTTCATGGGAAAAAGTTTTTGCTCTGTTTTTCTGAATTAACGAGTTAATTATCTCAGAATTATGAGATAATTTTGCATGGAAAAAAGTTTTTGCTCTGTTTTTCTGAATTAATGACTTAATTATCTAAAAATTATGAGTAACTCATTAATTCAGAAAAACAGAGTGAAAAAAATGTTTTTCAAGAAAAATGTATCTCATAATTCTGAGATATTAACTCGTTAATTCAGAAAAACAGAGCAAAAACTTTTTTTCCATGAACAATTATCTCGTAATTCTGAGATAATTAACTCATTAATTCAGAAAAACAGAGTAGATTTTTTTCCTCAAGTGAATGCAATACGCTTCCGTATAAAAGTATTAATTTATTTTAAATAAAAAGGAAAGAAAAAAATACTGACCCCAAACTTTTGAACGGTAGTGTATATTGTTACAAAAGATTTCTATATTAAATACATGTGTAACATTATCACAGGTTATAAAACAAATATTAATCAGCAAAACTTTGTCCAACATTGATAATAAATCAGCATAGAATAACTTCTAAAGGATCATGTGACACTGAAGACTGAAGTAATGATGCTGCAAATTCAGCTTTGCAACGCATAAATGAATTATATTTTAAAATGTATTAAAATAGAAAAACATTATTTTAAATTGTAATAATATTTCACAATATTACAGTTTTTTTCTGTATTTTTAATCAAATAAATGCAGGCTTGATGAGCATAAGAGACTTCTTTCAAAAACATAAAAAAATAGTGATGTTTCCAAAATTTTGACCGGTACTATTTTCTCTCTTAATATTTATAATCTAGGCTATATGAAAATCTAAAATCTATGTAATATATATATATAAATCTTGTCTTCTGCAGATCATTAACCCCTTAAGTGTCACGGGCCCACCGGTGGGCCCAAATTCTTTACATTTTTAAAACAGTAATATCCTATACTAAACCTAAACTAATCTTGACGAACTATATATCATTTGAAAGCTTACAATCTCTAGTTTCCATATTTGGTGATTGATTTTCAAAATAAATTACAGAGGAGCCGTAATTTATCAATTTGCAACAATAATATTTTCATACTCTTAGACCTTTATTTTGAAATAGTGATGAACATGAAAAATCATGAAAGAAGGGTAGAAACCTCAGTTTGTTTTCATTCCAAGAGTTAAAAAGATAGCATCCATTCAATTATTAAAAAAAAAAAAGGTCTGAATTTTTTTTTTTATATAAAGAAAAAAATTATATGATGTGGCAGGAAGCTAAAACGCACATGCGTGTTCTTTTTATGTTTCTTAGAGGTTGAAATCATATCAAAATCTGCCAAACTTCTCATATTACTTCTGAATAGGATGTCTACTTCATAAATTGTATGAAAATTGTGGAAATAATGGTTCATATCACTCAAAACACATATGGAAATGGAGGCGCCCTTATATGGGCAGTAATGGAGTCTGGTTGTCATCTAGTGAAAAAGTTTGGTACTGCGCCCAAACAAAAATCTTACTGAAAGCTCATTTTTTGAGATATCAACCTAAAATTTGAAACACAACTTGTTCAGATTTTTGGCTTTGATTTTTTTGCAGTTTTAGAGTCGCCCAGGTTTTGAAAATATATATTTTATATAAAATATGAATAATTAAAAATTTTACATTGTACATTTTCATAAACTCAAACTTCAATAACTTTTTTTCTGTTTCACTTTCTTAATTTATTTCACTTCTACAAGAATCTGCCAAATGTCTTCTTTAAAACAAGACCAATCTTACGTCTATATTCCAAAGCATTCTTGAATTACAACCATTTAAGTTCGAAATGTGCATTTTCATGTATATTCAAAAAAAGGGGGGTGACACTTAAAGGGTTAAAGGAAACCTTAAACACAGTGTTTTTGTCTCAGCAAATTTAACCCATAAACCATCATCGTATAAATGGTCTCGTGCATGACCTTGAAAAAGTCCCACAGGGATTCCTTTCCCTTCCTCGCATGTTCAGATAAAACAGTTTTTGCTGTCTCAGCGCACAGCTCGCCTCCTTATTTAGTGGCAAGGTCAATTATACAGAGCTGTGAATGGGTCAATCAGGGCAACAATTCACCGATTTTACCGGAATGACTAGAAAAGAAATCAAAATACCTTACTTACTGCTTTTGTCCTCTGCCTGTCAATAACTCAATGCAACAGCTTAGTAATCGGCTGAGAATTACTGGCCCATACTAACTTAAAATGTCATGATTTTCACACCGTCACCCTCAATAATAAGCAAATGATAAGCTTGAGTGAAGCAGGTATGTATGTCAAATGAGAACTGTTGGAATTACTTGAGTATACAATTGTAAACCCATTTTATTGCTGCTGTGTTCATATAGCGCTGATAAACAAAGCTACCAGCAGCTCAATAAAGTCAAATTACGGGTTGAATCCATCTCCAGCCATCTGAACCAAAGGTTTTTGTCATTGTGTATTTGTGTCAAAAATACAAACAAAAAAGAAGTGTGATTAATTGTATTGAATGTGCAGTTGTAGTGTTTACTACCTATTCATATGCAGTGTATATGGACTTGCAGATAATATAATTTAATGAAATAAAAGGCCACTTAAGTGTACTGAAAGAGTACACTTTCGTTACGATGTTTCATAACAAGTACACCTTTAAACAACCACTTTGTCATAATGACAAATTAAAAGTTCAACTTTAAAGTACATTTTATATCATTGTGTTTTAATCGTTTTTTGTTATGCCTCGAGGAAGTACTCTTTTGATGTGTTGACTAACATAAAGCATTTGATTATATATTTGATTATAATTGTAACTGTTGTGTGGTATTTGATTTCACATTTAAAGTGAATATACTTTTAATGTACTAAATTGCAAAAGACAAAATTATGAAATTGCATATAAAGATGTACATAAGTCATAGGTTTGTCCAAAGAGTAGCCTATACTCTTTAAATTTAAACTACGTAATAGATTTTAATTTCATTTTAAATAACAAGCAATGACATTTCTGAAAACATCACATTTAGTGCACGTTTAAGTATTATTTTAAAGTATAATATTCCCGTAATAAGTCCTAATTTTAGATGTATGCTAAAGTTTACTTCTTTTTCACAAGGGGATAAAAGGATTAGGGATTAAAATAGTAAGTCTGGCCCAAACAGCTCTCTTTTTATTATATTTTTTCTCCTTTGATAAATAAAAAAAAGTCTGGTTCAGTTTCATAGGTCCAATGTTCCTTATTCAGTGTTTGCAGTAACTTGAGAAAACCCCCCCTGATGGACTCAGTG